TTGGTGTCGGGGCCGCTTGACCCCGGCAGGGCTGGGAGCGGCGGGGCTCCCGAGTGTGCGGGCAGGGCCCGGCCTGGGCTTGTGGGGAGAGGCTCCGGCCCTGTTCACAGCCCTGTTCACAGGGGGTTTGGGGGTGTGAGGTCCCTGCGCAGCTCATGCCGGGCTGCTCCGCATGACAACTCGGGGCTTCTCCATGCTGGTGAGGGCTTTCTAACGAAGCAGGCTTTACTTTTGCATTGTCCCAGTTAGAATAATGCTTATGCACAAAGTGAGTTTTCTTCATAATTTTATTTGTTTGGGTTTTTTTTTTTTCAATTGCTAGACATTGCTCATATTTGGTTTTTCTTGTCATGCAGGTTTTCACCCCATTTTTCTTATGTGAACTTACCAACATTGACTGACAAAAGTTTACTTTGTGAACGTTATTTGAACAGGACTTGAATGCTCTTCTCTAACCATTTTATATGGGGTTCTGTTTTTAGGCACTCCAGGCGTTGGGAAAACCACGCTCGGAAAAGAACTTGCATCAAGAACTGGGATGACCTATATTAATGTGGGTGACATGGCAAAAGAAGGTAGGCCGTATGAATAGAGCAGTCCATCAAAGTACTTTAGATATTTTTGCTTTGTATAACAATGTGCTTCCAGCGCATGCATTCTATATTAAATGAAAAGGCAATGGGTTTGCTTTAACAGGAATATTTTTGGAGGCATTAATTAAAAAACCATTTATGTAACTGTAGCATACTTTGTATTAAGTAAAAAATAACAAACTCATCCTTATATGGATTTGTAAACAAAGTGTTCCTTCCTCTGAACACTATCGTTTGTTTGCACCCTCCTGAAATAAATGTAACAATACAAATAATTGTAATAACTGCTGTTACTCTATCATAAACTTGTATAAATTATTTTTGCAGGAGAACTGTATGAAGGTTTTGATGAGGAATACGATTGTCCGATTTTGGATGAAGACAGGGTAAGTCCAACTTCAAAAGCTACCGTTGTTGTGTTTTGAGTTCATGTAATTTCAGATAAACTTGCCTATCTTTGTTTCTTTTACAGGTAATTGATGAACTAGAAGATAAAATGAGTGAGGGTGGAGTTATTATCGATTATCATGGCTGTGATTTTTTCCCTGAACGGTGGTTTCATATAGTATTTGTACTTCGTACGGAAAATTCATTTCTGTATGACAGACTTGAAAACAGGTATGTCAGTGGAGTGAAGGAGGAGTGAAGTACTGTTGTGTGACTTCATCGGGGATTTTTCTAGAGTATAAATTACTGATTCTGTATAGACTATAGTTCTCTGCATATCTGAGACTCTCTGTCTTGCTTGTTTTCTAGGGGCTACAAAGGGAAAAAGCTACAAGACAATATTCAGTGTGAAATTTTTCAGACACTTTATGAGGAAGCTATGTCGTCATATAAAGAGGAAATTGTACACCAGTTACCCAGCAACACTCCAGAAGACCTAGAAAGAAATTTGGATCAGATTATGCAATGGATTGAGCAATGGATGAAGGACAACAATTGACATTTGGTGAAAAAGTAACTGCTGGATTGCTTCCTGGCTTAATAAATTACATTCATAATTCTTGTATTATAAATTAAAATTAATTTTATTGTAATTTGATATGACTGTGGTGTAGAGTGGTTCAGAACAGCCAGGCTGTAAGGCTTTTGAACAGAGACTGAAATACTGTGGGAGAACTGACAAAAGTGAAAATTCATCAGTGAATGAAAGGATGAAAGCGACATGGTTGCTCTGAATAGCAGGAGCTACATTGAGTAATTGAGAATTTTTTGGAGTTTACAATTAAAACCAAACCTATTCCCCCCACCCCCCCCTCACCCCGGAAAAGGGTACAAGCCTGATAACTGAATGCAGCTAAGGAGCTTTTGAATTTTAAAGGGTAAAAGGAGTTAGTCTGTTTCTGAATTTTTAGACTAAAACCTGTTATATTCGACTGTATTCTTGAATTTACGGAGTGTAATGTAGAGTGGGGGGTGTATGATATAGTTTAAGGAGGGTGCTTTATTTTGGAGGGAAGATAAGTGATGTGGTAAGAACTTCAGGAATTACGGTGTCAGGAAACATCAGCTGTATCTGCACTGGTGCAGACTATTAAGCAGTAAGATTTTTTTCTCTATTCTCCGTCACCCATCGCAATCCTGGAACGTATTTATCACTACGTTTATCAAGGAAATATATAATTTGGCAGGATAATGAACCTGCAGCAATCCAAACCATGGTTACACTTAGAATACTGGCACAGCCAGCTGTTCTAATCGCCTGCAAAGCCCGGGTCCTGTGAGAGCACGGCTGTGCACAGTAGAAGTAACCTTTCTTCACTTAAAAGGCGGTTTGTAAAGCTTTGTGAAACATTCAGTAGAACGTCCTTGCCAATAAACTTTTTATATACACGAATTTGAATAGTGAAACTCTTTTTATTTCCTTGAAAATTTCTATTCTTAGCCTCCCGGGGAGCTGTGGGCTCGGCGTTCCGGGTGCCTCCAGCGGGACGTGCTGCTCCCGCCGGGGAAGGGGGGCAGGAGCGTGGGAATGTCGCGGGGGGGTCACCGAGGCGCTCCCACCCACACCCGGCCACCGTCCCCGCCTTCCCTCCCACCGGCAGATGCGTCCGCAGCCGGAGGTTTCACTTTAACGTTGGGTTTTTTTGTTTGTTTTGTTGTGTTGTTGTCTTTTTTTTGTTTGGTTGGTTTTTTTAATGTTTAATGCTTTAATGTTCTACCGTGCAGCGCGAGTGACGTTTTCCGGCAGACCGAACCCATATTAGAAGCAGCCACACGCCAACAGCTTCATACTTTAGTCTTTAATGTTTTGCTGCTTTTTTATGGAGTTTTTCTGTTTTTCCAGATAAAATACTTGTTTTGCAGGAGGCACGGTTTACATTGCCAGTAAGTGAAGTGCCCTCAACAGAAAAAAGAAAAAAAAAAAAAACAGGAGGAGAAGATGGAGGAAGCAGAAGAGGATGACATGACGTGTGGAGACTTGGGAAACGGACTCGGGAGAAGACCTGGAGGTGTTTACGAAGGGGAAAATTTACAAAACTCCTATTCATTTAGATCTAGGAAGGGATCTGGAAAAGTCTGTAATTCTCTCATGTTAGCAAAGAGAGTGGAAGAAAGTGATGCCACAGCTCTTCCTGGTTCAAAGCGGAACAGTTTTTATGACGGATCATCCAAAAAGCCTGTTACTAGTTCAGGGCGACAGAACAGCTGTGGTAAGAGTCATTTGGAAGTTAATTATTCTCTACGAGAAAAATCTCTTGTTAGCAGAACTGCCTCACAGTTCAGCAGCTTCACAAGGTGTCACCAAGTTTAATTCAAACTGTTTGCCAAAACACTTTGAAATCTCTGAAGGATTCCAAGAAGCGCGGGTGCATTGCACGCCTGCTGGGATCCAGCGCAGCCTCGCAGGTTAGCTGGTGCAGCCTCTGCATCTGCTGTTAGCGCCGCAAGAGGAGATGCTCAATGCCTATATCTTTCTCCCAAAACATTAACTGCAGAATTGCTTTGCAGTGAATGAGGCTGTGGCCCTTCCTGGTATAAAACGACTATTTTCAAAGTGTTTAGTTTTGCATTTGAAAATGATATTTAGCAAAAAGCATCCTGTGGTGGGGGGCAGTGTTGTTTTTTCTCTGAATAGATACATGACATTGAAAAGAATTGCTTGGATTCCTGGTTTGTTTAACTGTGGATTCCTAGAGATTGTATCTAAAGCTTATGGGTAAATATTCAAAGTCCTGTTTACTATTTAGTTGAAATTTGTGAATTGCCCTACTTTTGAGGTTAAGAAATTGGTTTTAGAACCTGCACATCTCTGTCCTCCTGGTGTTGGTATTAATTTTTTTGTGAAAACAACACTGCTGTGAATAACATCAAATATAGGCAGTGCTGTTCATCACACTTCAGATGCTTTGCCTTACATTTTTAGCCATTTTAAGTATTTTGAGTGAAGCACTTCTGTATAACTTGCTTATTTCTCTCCTTTAGAACAATTCCCCACTATCCTCTCTGCACACTGTAGTAAGTTAAGCCATGTAATTATTCTTTATTGGTTTCAGCGTCTTCAGAGAGCTGTTACGAGAGCAGCGTAATTCCTATTGTTTTCACGGTCCTTCTGCTGGTCTCTGTATGATGAGAAAGATCCAGGTCTTTCAGACAGCAAAAGCCATGAAAGCATGACTGAAGTCCAGATGAACCCGACTTTGATTTAGCATGAGGCTGCATCTTAACATATCTCTGCAATGCTCAGTGAAGAAAAACGCTACTAGTAGTAACTCTGTGTTTAGAGGAATATTGGATCTTGTAGGATGCTCGACCACCGTACTTGATCTTTGTCTTTTGAAAATTGCCCCCACCTCTAAATAATGCTAGCCACTGTTGTCTTTAGTTTGGTTGTTGAAAAGTTACAATCTGAAAAGAATCTAAAAAATGAGTATTTTTTTAAATCAAGATGGCAATGTTCTTGTGTTTTGGGTTTTTTTTAAGACAATTCTAAAACAATTGTCTTTATTTTAGGTCTTTTTACAACTGATCGTTTTATCCCATTTCACTTCTTTAACTGTGAAACTGTATTTGAGCTTAGTATTTATGTATTTCTTTAATCTGTGTATTAGCTCCAGAAGAAAAAAAAAAAAACACAAAGATGAAAATTCACCTCTTCCCATTACCTGTTTTTTGGGTAAAGCAAATTCTCATGTTTTCTTTTGTAAATACTTTAGTGTCTCATTGCCCAGTATCTCCTATCAATCTTACAGAATCTAATACTGAAGTGTCAAATGAAGAACTACAGCAACAACTTCAGGAAGCTCTAGAGGTTGGTAACTGTGCCAAGTGTGCTGCTCTTGAAATATCTATTTCCTTTTAATGTAGCAAAGTAAAGCACATTAGTTTAGCTGGAGATCTTTTCATGTCCAGAATCTTGGATGGATTCAGGTTCTTGAAATAAAAGCAGTAGTTGGAAGCCTCATTAAATTTTATGCCAGGAAATCAGTGTGAGATGCAGTTGATACAGTTTTTAATATGGATATATTTTAATTTTTTTGGGGGGGTGGGGGGTATTTTTAAAGATGTAGAGAATATTAAAAGGATGGTACTCCTTTTCTAGCAGGTTTTCTTTTTTTATTAAGCTTTGGGCCTGAAAATCTGCAGTGTAAACAGAATAGTTTTGGGGGTTTTACTGCATTCTTGTGGAAAGATAGTTAACTCCTACATTTTAATTTTACTGTGGTTAGATGTGTTGCTGTGTTGGCCTCGGTCCAGCAGAGAGAACAGAGTAATCTCAGCTGTGAAAATGTATACTTCATCCACACTGTGTTCTTTAACCTCAGGATAGCCCGCGGTGGGTCATTTTCAAGCTCTCAGCGTGAAGAACCTTTAGTATGCAGAAGGTTAAAATATCAAGGAACCTTACTCATTTTCAATTAGACAAAACTGATAATTTGCCACTGCTCCCATATACAATTTCAGTATCAATCGCTGAAGTAACAAAACTGGAAGAACTATGAAAAAAGTTTTGTATGACCCCAAGTGAACAACTGAGTGACCTGCATAGGGGTTAAGGACCGATAAGTATACAAAGCAGTAAATTTTCTTTTAACACTTGCAAATTGAAAAACTGCTTTGTTCTGAAAGGTAAAATGTTGCATAAAGATGTGATGGGCATGTATCTGGAGCAGGAATCTGTTGGGGGGGGGGGTGTGTTTGTTCGGGACAAGTAGTGGTTTTGATCTAACGGTCCTAACATGATATCTGTGCTATGGAGTATGGATATTTTGTGTAATACATAGTACATTATGTTAATGTAGCATTTATATTTTAGTATATATTTGTATATTTACTACATTTTTTATCTGCTGCATGTATTTTCATGCATGTATATCTGCTATTCTGTTTTGCATACTTATTTTAAAGCTCCAGACCTATGTTGGCACATACAACTTCTTTAGCAAGGAAGAACTGCAGTATTTGGTGGTTTATCTTCCAAATACACTGGAAGAGAACAGAAAGAGTAATACAAGTATTCTTCTTTAAGGATTTTGTGCTAACATGTACTGTTAACATTTCTTCATCGCAAGCAAGCTATCAGTCAGAAAAGAATCATAGTTGTTTTTTGAAGAGGGAAAATTGACATTGCTGTTACAGTCGATTTTTAAGAAGATTACCTTGGCTTTTACTCAGTGTACTTACTTTATTTTGCTTCAGGAAGTTGAAATTTTGAAAGTTGAGCTTGAAGCATCACAAAGACAGCTTGAAGGAAAAGATGAAGCCCTAAGAATTCTGCAGAGCATGGTAGGAGTTGTTCAAAAATCATTTAGGTACTCAGCGGTAAAGGAAAGGAGACAGAAGAAAACTTCCTGCCACTCCTCATCAAAACCCCCCAAACCTTAAGTTCTTCCCAGGGCTGTAATTTAAAGCATTGAGACCGCGAGTGTCTGCAGACTTGGCTTCTACGATTTACTATTTTTTCGGCATGGTACCACTGCAGTTATTTAAGATGACTTTACTATTGTAGCAAATTCTCATAATTTTGTCTTTGAGGATCCTTGAAGATTTAGCTATTTAACTTACAAGAATTAGGCCATTTTTCCAATCCTTTAAATTACAGATTTTGCCAGTGCTTGAAATTCTGCTGCAAAGCATAGATATTTTCAGTTGACTACTCCATCTGTTGTCCTAGAGGACAGTATGCATTAAATGTTAGGTCAGTCTTTTGTTCACAGTTTGTAATATTTTTATTATCACATCAAATTATGTTTAAATCAGTTCCTGGTTTTAGCCTACTTGCATAACCCATTTAGTTCTGCAGTTTATACCCTCAGATATTCTGAGTAAGTTACACCTGGATCAACGTATAAGTATGTTGTAACCGTTTTTTTAAGAGCTGATTTTGTGGACAAGCCCTAAAGAAGATGCCATCTCATTTTAAATGACACTATGGTTTTCAATAGAAAAGATTATGGGATTGAAACACAAGTTCGTTATGCAACATAGCTGCATAGTGACTTGAAATTAGAACCCACTGGGACTTACAAGCAAGTTGCTAGTGTTTGTAATTCTGCACGGTCCTGTTTAGCTAAGAATGTGAACTTCTCTTGATATAAAAGTGAAAATTGGGCTAAAGCCAAACTAAGTGAACTTAATTACAGGATTTGACAGAGTTGTGTTTTTGGTCTGGATTGTTGTTTTTTTTTTTCAGGCAGTATTTAATAAAGCCACTAGTCATACAAAAGCAATGCTTCAAAAAACTGAGGAAGAAAAGAGAACTTTAGAAAAGGTAAGAGTGCATGTTTCCTTCACACCTGTGCAAAAACATAGATGTCCATTTCTATTAATAAGGAGTTATCAGACTGTTATTTAAATCGGTACAAATCTGCCATTAGTTCCAGGGTTGGTTTTTTTTAAAGTATTCTTAATCCTTTTTACTAGAAAGGGAAAATGTTCATGTATAACTCTTTTGATCTCAATGTTTTCATGCTATAGTGTGTACAAACAATACCTGAAAGTTACTACAGTTCTCTCTGTACTTTCAGTTGGTCTTTGTTGTGAGTTTCACAGTCATTCAGAGTGAGTTTCATTATTTCTTAGTTACTAAGCTAGAAGTTCCCAACAAGTCTAAGAAATGGGTGGCCAATTTTCATAGGGAAGATGAGGAGGAGGAGGAAGGTGACATTGACCTACCTTGTTAAACCGAGTTTTATGCTTTGTTTCTTTTCCTGTGTGACCTTCCCACAGAACAGTAAGGGTACACGGAAATGGGACAGCTTGGGTTTGTTTTTGTCATAAGCCACTACAAGCATTAGTTTATGCAACACGGTCTGGAATTCATACATCGGTGATGCAGAAACTTTTTGCTGTCTGCACCAAATGTATTTTTAACAGTATCATAGATCGTCATCATCGTTGGTCACCTTGATCTCTGCCAGTGCCAAAATCGGCACCAGCAGTTCCTGTTCTTCCTTTCAATGGGAGGCTTGTGATGACCTGCTGCAAGTTTGTTTTGTTTCCACAGGAAATAAATATTTTGCAATGGGAAATTGAATTTGATCAGGATAGATTTAAAAACATAGAAGACACATGGACAGAAAAATATGACAGGTATTCCACTTGCACGGTGTATCTTTGTGGGTTTTTTAATTGCATTGAATGCTGTATGTCATCTTGTGTTCCAAGTTTGCTTCATCAGGTTTTCTGGGGGTTTTGTGTTTTCCCAATTTCCTTCCAGATTTGGGAAGATTTAATGTTCATGCTAGTCACATTTGTATTTTCAATTAAAAATACTAAAATTATTAAGTCTCAGTTCTTTAGTGTGTATATAGGCTAGCTTTGCTAGGCTGAGTTTTCATTTTCATCCTGTCGCATTATGATGTTGTCCAGCTGTGGCCAGACTTTCCTTGCTTACTTTAAATGTAAATGAGGTATAGAAAATAATGGTATGTGCATGCATGTGGAAATATCATTTGCTGGTTAATCATTGCTTCATTTTCTTGCATTGTAGGTATGAGCATATGTACAGCTAAAATGGAATGCTTTTAAGAGAGGCTGATCAACTGGTTCTTTGTTTAAATAAGAGTTACTCTGGATGGAGAGCAGGTGTGGTTAAGCAAGCAGAAGATGCCAGAGGCACTAAACTAATAATGCAGTAACAGACCTTGAAAAATGTGACCACCAGGCTCACTTATTTAAATGTAAAAATGATATCTCTGAAGTCTACCCATCAGAGTTACAATTATTTCACAGGAGATTTTTATTTAAAATTTTCAAACTCAGAATCAAAAAACAACCCAGAAGTTTACAAACTTTTCTAAGTAGAGTTTTGTTAAGATATTGTGTCTTGTTTATCTGATAAGTTAGTTATACTTGTCAAGGGATACTTCTTGAAAAACCCTTTGGCTTTCCTGACTCAGGAGACTGGAAGTGTAGCCAGGTAGTTTGGAGCAACAAAACTAGTGTTAACTGTTGAAAGCTGGAAACGTAGCTTCAGAAAACTGCAAGCCAGGAGCTCAGTCTGCTCTGCAAAAAGGTTTACTGATATCTGAGACAGCAGGATGAGAAGAGTGTGTATTTCCCTGTTTATTTAAGTGAAATAATTCAGGTTACTATTTAAACAAAAATGTGAATTGATAGGACAATGCATTTACTGACAGCTGAATAGATGCCCCAGATAAATTGCATTACTTTAACATTTAGGACTTTAGATTGCCACTTTTCTATTCAAGAAGGAAATACTTAAATACTTCAAGGAAGAATGCATTATAAATGTATTGTGTGTTCTCAGGTTGCAACGCTTGAGCGTACAGCTGTTCTTGAGAACAGTATTATGAGTACAGGAAGTTTACATTCTAAAATTAAGACCAGAGCCATGTTGTCACATATCCAATAACAATTTTGTTCTTTCAAGGAAGTAAGAGATTTCTAGCAAGTGTTCCAGAGGTTCATAATTACAAATTTCTCAAATTTCTTTTGAGGTTCTAATGGTAACGTGGTACTTAAACTCACCTCTTGTTAAACTCTGAAGTTGCAGGCACCTTCCACTTACACGTGAATGATTTTTTTTTATTTTATTTTTCCTAACATTCACTTGAAGATAGTTGGGCACGTTTAAATAGGTTGTGAGAGGGTGTGGTGTCGTGAACCAGGCGAGCCTGTTTGAACAGCGTGTGCTATCTGGGTTGCAGAGAAACCTCTTTCTGAGTGCAGAGATTCTTGGTTTTGCTTGCTGCAGAGCCACCTGCAGCCTGGATAACAAGGAGTGACTCCAAAGAAGCCAGCCTGGTGTCACCTGCGTCCTCAGCCTTGGTTCTGGGCCAGTATGACCAAGCCTACGCACAGAACTTTCTTCAGAGAGTCAAGAGTAGTTTTAGGTGGCTTATTGGCCCCTGGCTAGCAGATTTGGATCTAACGGCATGCTACATATTATTGGTACAGCCATTGTTATGGAAAAGTTTTACAGTATTTTCCATTTAAAAAATTTTACACGTGAGGAAACTGCTTGTATAACGCTGCATGGATAATATCTTGTCAAACTGAATACTCAGCTCTTTTCAGTTGTGATTTTTTTTCTTGTTAATAATCCTAATTTTAATCTGCAAAAATACTAGATACAGTGTTTTAACAGGCTTTTTTTTTTTTTTTCATTTGAGTGCCCATTTTAAAATATTTTTTTTTAAAACACTTTTTGTAACTTCTGCAGGATATATTGTGAAAACGCAGCTCTTAAGGAAGCATTGAAACTGAGAACAGAAGAAGTTAAAACTCTTAAAGCTGAAAATGCAAGTAAGCCACCAACAGCTATTCCTCTTCACATATTTTTTTCTCAGGAGTAATTCCAGATTTAGCTATGAAGGACAAAGGGTAACGGGCACAAATTCAAACATAGAAGTTCCATCTTAACATAAGGAGGAACTTCTTTACTTTGAGGATGGCAGAGCACTGGCACAGGCTGCCCAGAGAGGTTGTGGAGTCTGCCACTCTGGAGACATTCCAAACCCGCCTGGACGCTGTCCTGTGCAACCTGTTGTAGGTGACCCTGCTCTGGCAGGGGGGTTGGACTGGATGATCTCCAGAGGTCCTTTCCAACCCTGACCATTCTGGGATTCTGTGAGGCTGTCTGTTGGGATAATTTTCTTGTTACTGGCAGCTGATACTAGTGGATATGCAGAAACCCTCTTTGAACAGACAAGTTGTGTTTGTTTTTCATCTCACATTGCCACTTGAACTGAAAAAAACCCCAACATTAAATGATAGGTATGTCTAGCTTAAAGAGTAGATCAGGTGTGAAAGAACTATACCTATCTTATCTCAGTGGCGTGGTGACACCCTGGGCGTGGAGGGCAACAACCGGTCCACGTTCCCGGTCCTGTCCTGGAAGGCGGCAACAGCAGCCAGGGCAGCCACTGAGTGCTGCTGCTACCATGACAATCTGCATCAGAGACGTTCATTTTTAACATATCCACTTAAAGATTCCCATAGCACAAACTTCGCGGAATTCAGTGTGTCAGCTTTGTAGTGGAGGTTTTCAAACTGCAGGTTGTGCAGGTGACTGGCTGGGTCAGATGGCTCAAGCACCTTTCCCTTATTTTTAGTTTCCAAAAAAGCTTTAAAATAGCGGACATACATCATTATTTTCCCAGTATTGGGCTATTCTAAAAAAGCAGCTGCCTTGATTGTAAATATACAAAGAGATAAGCCCTTAGTACTAAGGCAGAGTAATATGTGACATGGTATCTCTGCAAGTGGGTCATTACCTCTAGGAAAACACAGAAGGAAAGACAACAGGGATCTGAGTTTCTAGATCTACGTAGTCTCATCACGTTCCCAAACTGACTCTTACACTTCAGAACTGTTTAATGTGGGGTTTTTTTAAACCTAGAAATTAAGAAATCGGAGCAGCGGGCTTTTTAATCACCTTCCTTGTTTTATTTCCTAGTCCTGAATCAGCAGTGCTTGGAATTTCTTGCAATGCTGGATGTGAAACAACAGAAGGTTGTTCAGGAAAACATGTCCTTGAATAAAAGTGACATTACAGATTTCACAGGCCTTGAAGTAAGTATGACTTCCATGCTTTTCAAAATGGCTTGTTCAAAGATATGTTTATATTCAAAATATATAGATGAATTTTGCTTAATGATTATTTAAGTGTTTCTTTGGACTCATTTTTAGCTATTGACAATATGTCCTTGCGTGCCTGTAAATCAGTCTTCTAATTTATCATGCGTCATGATTCCTATCTTGCAAAGAAAGAACAGGCAGAAGGGGCATCAGGCTATTTTTCACAAGCCAGCATGCTTATTTTTTATTTCTTAATATCTTAACTCCTATGCCTACTGCATACTGAAAAAATTCTAATGAGGTCTTCAGGGAGTAGCGTACACAGGCTGACAATTTTTGCCTTTAAGTTATCTTGCAGAAAAATAAGTGTCGCGCGTGTGGTTGTGAGTCAAAAGAATTCATGCTGGAATCTCTTGTAGTTTACTTCCCCTGACCCCTACTCTACCTTTGTAGTTTCAGGATGGTTTTTTTTACTAGTCACCCAGCGTCTCTTGGATTCCATTGTGTTTGCAGATAGATATTTAACGGGTGGTTTGGTTTTGATTTTAAGCTGGCGGTTCTTGGAGCCTGCACCTGCAACACTTCTGAGGGGCAGCCGTGTCCCTGCGCTAAAATGGCAGCTGTAACTCGAAAGCAGCTTCTTCATCTCAAGCAAGAGGTAACGCTGCTTGGCTTAGATATGGATGAGCAGAGGGGTGCTTGTGCTCAAAACCAAATAAAGGCAGAAACACTCCACTGCAGCTTACGTAAACCCATGTGTGTGTCTTAAAGCAAAAAAGCTTCACACAAATAATGGAATGTTTGCAATGCTTGTAGTGCCCTAACTTTTGCTGATATAAAACTGTAATTATGATATCAATCAGATTTACTAGTTAAAAAATTCTCTTTCTCCTTCTTTTTTTCTTCCACACATATTTTTTAATCTAAAAATACATATACAGTCTGTAAATGTGTACACAGTGTGAGTGCGGACTAACACTGGTGGGGATGACTCCCCTTTCCCTTCCTTCCTGGCAGCGCGTTCCACCTCTCCCCCGCATTGACATCAGCGCTCACAAGCCCACTCGCCCAGGAAGCTGATCTTGCTGAAAACTCTGTATTTACTCTCTCTAGTATTTAATCTATATTTACTTTACATTTAAATCGATGGCGTCCTTTTCAAGCTCGAGGTCTTTAATTTAGTGAAATTCTAAAGTTTTACGTAGAAGAATTTTTCTTCTAATTTGTATTTCACCCTACAAATGTGGTAACAATCCTTGTGGTCCGACTGCAGAAGTTCCACCTGGCTTACTGGTTTTGAAAATAAGTACTGTCCTGTCCGTTTTGTACCAAAATTACCATCCCTGACATAGGTACCCTTCTTTTGCTCCTGCTTTTGTGTCCCCAACTGGCACGGGACATTAATGCCCTCCTCGAGCTCTTCTGCATGTGCAGAGATAAACAGGCACTGCTGGCAGCTTGTCTGTGCAGATGGGTGGTGATGTGCGCATGTGTAGAACAGGAAGGGTAAGGACTTCTTCAATACGTGTTTCAAAATGCATTTCTTAACGTGGCAAGGCGGCACGTACTTTGGTTTCTACTATCTCCTTGATTATATTTATTTAAAAGTTGTCTGTGTTAATGGCTTCAGTCTGTCTCTTAATAATACATTTTAAACCTGCTATTGCTTCCAAGTTGCTTAATATACTTTAAATTTTCTCTGAATTAAAACCAGATTGAAAATCTGAAGAAGATTAAAGATGAAGCTTATGTAATGGCAGATGCCTTCAGAATTGCATTTGAGCAGCAGCTAATGCAGAGGAAAGACCAAGCCCTGAGGCTTGCAGAAGTGATAAAGATTAAGAAGGAAACGAAATTTATAAACTGGAGACGCCTGAAAAACGATGGTAACTGGGCATGCTATGTATATGTAACAGCTGAACAGAAAATAAGTTAGCTGACAAGCAGCACAGGCAGACCTTGCTGTATTCAATATATGGTTGTGGCTTAATCGCTAACAGAGGCTTCTGAAGAGTCAAAAAAAAAAAAAAAGGAAAAAAGGAAAGTCAAAAATGTATAAACGTTTAAAAGCGGGGCCGGTAAGTTTTTCTTCTGAAGAGTCAAAAAAAAAAAAAAATGGAACAAAGTAATGTCAAAAATGTATATACGTTAAATAGCGTGTCGTGTAGCTGAAGAATTTCTACCGAAGTTTTGCGTGTGTAGAGTATGGTGTCTGTGTATATGTAGAATATATAAATACTACTGTAGGATGTTGGAGCTACCAGTCTAGGCTTTTAACGCAGCCCTTTTTTATAACACAGTCATGAACTGTGCTATCTGAGTAGAAACATGCTCAAATAAAGAAGCTGTTATCTCTAGGATGACTATAACATTCTGGATATTAAAGATGTTTATTATGAAAACAGCACAAAAAAGCTAACATCTGGCAAGTTTAGCCTGCCAATTTCGGTGCTATCAGCAATTTAATGTGCTGGAGGTTTTTTTAATGATCTAGAGATCATTAAAAGAATAAGGGAAGGAGGAGAAATGCAAAAAATATATACTGAGTTTTCACTGAAATACTAATTACAATACATTTTTTTATGTATGTGTGTCTACATCAGTATTTATTACTCTTCTTATACTTCACATGGTCATCTGTGAGTTACAAAGCACTCTAAAAGAGGAAGAATTCTTTTTATCCTTTCCTCCTTCTTTAAGGAAAAGGATAAGGAGAAGAAGTAACTGCTTATGTCATGGTGAAAACCATAGCAGAATTTGGGAGCGGCGCTTCAAGGTACATTTGTGTTTGCCATTGACCTGGAGGTGGCAGCCTTAGAAGTTTGGTGGGTCTTCTAGATTCCTTGAGAAGCTTCAGGATGCAGTACTAAAACAGCATACACCTTGGGTTGCTGTTTCCCCCATTCCGATGTCATTTTTTCCCAGCTCTACACCCTGATACATACATTAATATTTTAATGCATGTTAATCTTTTTAGAAATCTTAGAAGTTTTTCAACAACTTATGTCAAAAAACTTTTTTTTTTTTCCAGGCTACGTACTGTTTAAAAACAAATTACCACAAATTATTGTTTAACTAGAATGTTAGAGTGTATTTTCCATACAGCGAAAAGACTTTGCCTATATATACGATGAAAGGTCTATTTGGCCCTTAAGTGATGCTAAGGGTGGTGCTGCATGCACGTCATCTGCCGCGTTACGTACAGCGGGAGAAGCTGTTGCTTGCATGGCCCTTTAGAGGAGATTGTTCAGAATCCAGTTTTACGCATGCCCATTTTATCCCAAAGTAGTTTTTTCCCGAGTTCCACAGTTCACGTACTTCTGTTTTCCTTAGGACGCGTCAAGTTACAAGGCAACAAGAACAGTCTGGGACAAAAACTGTCCGGCCTGCTCTCATCAGATGTGGACTGCAGGAAGGTTGAAGAGCTGGACAATCCTCATGAAATCCTGAAGATGTTAATAGATTTGGTTAGTAGTTTGTCAAGCCATTCATCGTTGAGTCCTTAGGGGAGCAAATTTACCGATTTACGTAGACTGCCTCATTCTTGCCTTATAAACTTGTTCCTTTTCTTCCTCTTAATAAATAAATATGCAGGTGAATGACAAAGAGGAGGCTCTGGCTCATCAAAGAAAGGTTAGTTACATGCTCGCTCGTGCAATGGAGATGAAGGAGGAGGATGTTTTGGAGGACAGAGGCAACGGCGCGTCGGGGAGGCGTTCACGCGAAGCCTGGGGGCTGTCGGGCCCCGTCCACGCCTGCTGCCACAGCCCCCATCCCCAAAACACTGCCGCTGCGGTTCCCGGCACAAAAACACCGGGAAACCCGGCAAAAACCCTCCGAAAATCACACTCCTGGCCGCCTGAGACGACGCACCGCGATGAAAATAATCCGTGTGGAAAATCGGATGAAACCGTGGTGCTCTCTGTATAGCCGCTCGCTGGAATAAAGTTATTTTTACCAAGAGAAATGCCTAAAAAGGTTGGTGATTACATCACTGGGGGCCAAAGCGAGACAACGCGTTAGCTGATTCGGTCTCTAATGACACCGCAGCCGCGCGGTAGCCGTTCCTGCAGCGGAAGAGCACGACTTCATTAATTT